GGAGACTTTGCTGAGTGGCTTGAGGGATCTGAGTTCTCCGACCAGGAATTGAACCTGGACCCTCAACAGTGAAAGCGGGGAGTCCTAACCACTGGACCACCAGGGAATTCCCGGCACAGACCTTTTTTTTTTTTTTTTTTGCAGTACGTGGGCCTCTCACTGTCGTGGCCTCTCCCGTTGCGGAGCACAGGCTCCGGACGCGCAGGCTCAGCGGCCATGGCTCACGGGCCCAGCCGCTCTGCGGCATGCCGGCACAGACCTTTTTAAAGTCAGAGCCAGTGCATAAGGCAGGGCCCTCACGCCTGTGCTGGAGAAAATCCCTGCCCTAGTTCACAAGACTTGTTCTCAGCCCAGGAACACCTGGGTTCCTGAAGAAAGAGGAGACAGGGAGTCCTCTCAAACCCACCTAGGGATGACGTCCTTGCCTGCGCTCTGCCCTCGTCCCCTGGGAAGAGATGCCAAGTTCAGTGTTCACAGTGGGACACCAGGTCTGGCCTAGTGTCTGCTGCTGGCAGCTCACCAGGCTCCCAGGGGAAGCCGACAAGGAAGGGTCCTGACTTGGCTATAGTTGAAGGACCAAAAAACCCCAGAAACAGGGGGGAAATCTTATTTGGGAATTTCCAACTGGGTATGCGGACTTCCTTGGTTTCCATTGAGGTGCCGGAGAACCTGGGGCCCGACGACGTGCCAAGGTGCGGGCTCGTGGAGGGGGAACTGGGCGCCGGCCCCGGGGCCATGCTCTGGAGCCACCAGCACCCTACAGGTGCACACCAGCCCTCGGGAAACGACTGCTCAGTTTCTCAGCCCTGATCACCACCGCTCTGTGAAGATCACGGTCACGGGAAAGGCTGACAAGGTTTGATTTTTCTGTACTTCTGTATTTTCTCCCTGAACTTTCTTTCTTTCTTTTTCAGGAAGCTGTCTGGAGGAGTTCTGTGTAAAGACGGTGTGTGTGGGGGGTGCCCCTTGCTCTGGGTGGGAGGAAACCTGTCCTTCGGCCCCTTGGTCCCAGCTGGCCAAGCCCCAGAATGGACCTCCAAGTTCAGCCCCAGCTGGGAGACTGCAGGGACAAACCTGGGAGGAAAGGCCGACTCGGCCCGGTGGACAAGCTGCCTCTCACCTGGGCAGCAGGGGGAAGAACCCTGACTCTACCTTCATTCTAGAACCTGTGGGAGGACCTTGGAAGGGCTCCCGAGGTGCTGCCCGGAAAGGGGGGTCCAGCCACCAGGACGCTGCAGGCCGCCCTCCAATGTCTGCGCCTCCACAAGGGCCTGAGAATAAAACCTCGACAAGAGACTCACCTTGACTGTGTCAAATGGGTGTCCCACCAGTACACCTGCCACACCTGGAGGGAGAAAGGAGGACGTGTGACCCAGATGCCTCGGAAACCTCAGCGTGGGGCACGGTTCTGGCAACGACGTGCCTGGCACATCCCGGGAGCCCCTTAATCCTCCGCATGAGGGTAAGTGAGGGTGACCACCCCGAGGTCAGGCCAGGACCTGGCCAGCTCAAAGCTGGTGACCCTCCCTCCGCCCTGCTGCTCACTGCAGATGACAACAGAAGCTCCCCCTTGGGAGGCTGCACCTGCCATTTCTAAGATGCTCATATCACTCCAAATACCTGGCACGGTTGGGGGCTCCAGGGCTCTGGACTTGGGGCCGGCCCCTCGCCCAGATTTGAATTTTCCCTCTGTCATTTACCAGCTGGTCGAGCTCACAAAGAACTCGGTGTCTGAGCATCACTCTCCTCACCTGTACAGGTGTGAGGATCAACCTCCCCAGGGCCTCTCCTGGCCCCGAAGTGCTGACCCAGGACCTGAGGCGTTCATGCTTGGTTATGTACCAGTCCAGGATCTGTCCTAATCCAGCCCCCCTCAGAGGACAAAGGCTCCCCCTCCAAATGGCCCACAAGCACTTGTCAGAGTCCTGCGTGCTGTGTGGGTTACAAACATCCCTGTGAATCGGGCAGTCTTGTTACTCTGCTTCATGGAAGAAGTGAGGCTCAGTGAGGTTGGGTAACTGCTGCACTGACTCCCATGCTTTCCTCCCTAGAATTTCATGTGTGTACATCTTACAGTTCTTCTTCTTCTTTTTTTTTTTTTCTTGCTATATTTAAATGTATAATTAAATATAGCAATTAAACAGGCTAACATTTGTTGAGTAACAAACAGTAACGTTTCTACCTTCTGGTTACCGTTCTTAGTTTTGTCCGTGTACCAACTCTCTTTCTTATGTATGTAAAGAAAGGACCATTAGCCCGTTTTACAGATGAGGAAACTGAGGCATAGAAAAGTAGTATGTCCATGCCACACAGCTAGGTAAGCGGTGGAGCGGAGATCTGGACCCAAACCTTCTGGCCCTGGAGCCGCCCTCCTTAACCACTCAGAGCTAGCTCCCTGTCAGAGCTGGTTAGCATGTTCGTGGATGCCCAGAAGTCAACGGCAGTTACTACGCTTCCTCATAAATTGTATTTTTAAAAATTTATTTATTTATTATTATTACTTTTTGGCCGCACCGCACAGCATGTGGGATCTTAGTTCCCTGAACAGGAACTGAACCCGTGCTCCCTGCACCAGAAGCGTGGAGTCTTAACCACTGTACTGCCAGGGAATTCCCCCATAAATTGTATTTTTAATCCTTGTATAATGTCCTCTTCATCTTAATGCTTTGGACCTTAAAATCCACTTTGTTTGATATTAGCTTTGCCAATCCTGCTTTGGTTTTGGTCACATGTGTCTGGTATAGTTTTGTCCAGTTCCTAATTTTCAACCTTGTCTTACTGCTTTGTGTTAGCTGCTCCACAGTCTACAGCTGGGTTTTGGTTTCTACTCTGGCCTGCAGCAGTCTCAGATTTTGCCAAGACAAGAGATCTGACATGATTCCGTCTTATTTTACGGGCATGATCTAGGTACTTCCTTTCTTTTCCACATTTTTGCTTGTTCAGGCAAACTACTATTTATCCCCTTTCTGCTGGCTCATTTCTAAGTTCAGCAAAGGGTTACTTCTGCTTTTGAACACTCATAACCCTTATGTAGAAACAGGGTGAGAGCAGGAGGCTCTCTCTGCCCTCTACTGCCCCACCCTACCCCCAAGGGGGTTCCCACCCCGCCAGCTTCCACTGATCTACAAACCCCACGGGACTCGGGGCTCTCCCATCTCCTCTTCACCTCTCCCGCCATCTCGGGGTCTCTACTCCGATCGCTGGAGCCTTTCTTGACTATGGCCCTCAGTTGTAACACAGGGGAGACATGCCCTCTGAATTCCTGCTCATCTGCAAAATCTGCTTCTTTAACGCCATTAGGGAAAACAGTCCTGTGCTCTGGTGAGAATTCCGGGCCCAGGCCGTTAAGGGCGGCAACGTCCCAGAATCTTCTGGTTTCCAGTGCTGATGAGAAATCTGTTGTCAGCCTGTCTGTTCTCCTTTATCAATAACTTATTTATTCTATGAAGAAGCCACTGAGATTTTATCTGTAGATTTCGGGAATGTCACCAGGAGATACCAAGGGTGCGTCTTTTTTCTTTAAAAGAACCCAGCCTGGAACTCCCCCAGCGCAGACGAGCCTTTTCCTGATCAGAGAAAACTTCCTCTATTATCTGTTCATCACACTCATCATCTCCAGAACTTCTTCTCCCTCTGGGACCCCTAACATTCACAGGTGGGTGAAAAGACACCCCAAGCCTGTCTTTCCCCTCGAGACTTCCACCTCTGTGTTTCTGGTCTTCGAGACACACTTTGTTTTTATCACTTGAGATCTACCTTCTTTTTCATTTCATGTTTCGAATTTTCTGACTTCGGAAATCCTAGTTCTAGGACCTCCTTTCATGGGCTGTAACTGGATCTCCTCGGGTTCTGGAAACCTAACACTGCCTGGGGTGTGTTGCCTGGCCTTCCTTCTCTCTCCAGCCGTGTCCCCTACAGCCAGGCCCAGCTGGGGCGGGGCTCCCCTTCCTGTGGGTGGATGCCCCCGCCTCTGGTCCCAGACTTGCCCAGGTGCCAGCAACAGCCTTTGTCAGCCTGTGGGGTGGGAGAGGCGCCCCTCATCCCACCAAGGGCTCCGAGAGCAGGCAGCTGCATTCCCATTTTCTCCCTTGATTTGAGTGACCTCAGGCAAAGGGCTGGCCCCCCTCACCCCAAACATCTCCATCCACGGAAACAAGAGTCGGCTACAGGCCTGCCTCCATCAGGGCCTCCAGTCCCCCAAATCCTTATCCTTTTAACCTCCCAGTCACCTTGAGAGCCAGGAAGCCTGAGGGCCATCTCCCTGAGAGGGGCCTACAGTCACAGCAGCCAACGTGCACCGTGTCTCCCAACTCCAAAGCTGGTGCCCACTGTCTTACATAAGCTGGCCTTTAAGGGGCAACCCCCATCCCGTGACCCTCAAGGGCAGGAGGCGGGACCACTGTCCTGGAGGCGCCTGGCAGAAGAAATGGTGGGAAGGGACACCAGGATGACTGGCCTGTCCCCCACATGCAGGGTCCCACTGCCTACGGTTGAATCTCTCTCCTCCCATCCATGCCTGTGGCAAGGGGACTCCCATTCAGAGCCCAAAGTCAGACCAGGAACTGACCCGTGGTGGGGGAGTGCAGGTGGGCATTGGGACCCTTCCACCCCGGGAGACCTCGGGGAAGTTGGCAATCAAGGTCCCACCCGCACCTCCCCGGAAGGCGAGGTTGAACACATGGCCCACACCCAGCCAATCAGAGGTGATGTACTGTCCTTCCTCCGGGGAATCTGAATCAAGAGGCACCCCAGCTGCAGAAAGGCAGCCTTCATCTGCCCTGAGCCTCCAGGCCTTGAGGAGCTCAAACCCCAAGGAGCCAGGCAACCTCTGGGGGCCAGGCCCCAAGGCAGGGGCACCGCCTGCGCAAGGTTCCTGGACGGCCCCTCTGCTCCGGCCAGGCCGTGCCAGGGGCCCGGAAGGCAGGCCTGGGACACAATCCGGTCACAGTCCTGTGGGCCGGCCCCTAGCGCCCGTGAGGCTGGGGGAAGGGAAGAGCTTGGCAGTCTCTCTCCACTTCTGAGGGCCTAGGTTTCTCCTGGGTCAAATATACCAGGAGAGGGTCTCTCCTACCCTTTCCCGTCTCTGCTCACACAGTGCGGGAGAAGGTGGGCACCACCAGCCCCAGGCTTCCACCTGGATCCAGGTAGGGCAGTCGGTTTGGGGGCTGTGGAGTACCTACAGCTCTCCAGGGTGCTGGACCCTGGCCTTGCCCCAACCCTGGGGCCTGGACAGGATCTCTCCCAGGTGGGCTTGGCGAGGATGGGCAGAAGGCATTCCAGGCAGGGTCCTGGGTAAGCAAGAGCCCAGAGTGACTTAACAAGTGTGTCTGGGGGGATGGGCCTGGCCTTAGGATGAGTGTTCCCAGCCCAATCCCCATGGATCCCAGGACGCCTGCGTGAATACAGAAGGAATCCTGCCCCTCTGGGGAAAGAACCCACACTCCACCCAGCGGAAAGGGGTTGGAAGGGGTGTTGGCCCTGGGGCTGAGCCACCATTGGGGGTGGGTAGAGAAGGGTCTGGGGCCCAGGAGAAGCTGGCGGCCTGGTGGCAGGACACTCGTGGAGGTCCCTCGAGGGGGACAGGAAGAGCAGAGACTGGAATGGGGATGGGGGGATTGAGAGATGGGTCCACAGAGGCCAACCCCTCCTGTCTCCTCTGGCACCCTGGGCTTGGGAGAAATGCTCCCCAAATTACTGAAAGCTCTGGGGCCTGGAGGCCTGATTGGGTGACCGTCTGGGACACTTCCTGGGCACACCTGCTTCTCCACCAGCCCTCCTCTCGTGCGGAACAGGAAGCTAGCAACGCACTGGTTTAAATGCTAGACGCTCTCCTCTTCCTCCAGGGTGCCCACAGCTGGCAGGTAGCTGAGAGCTTTATTAAAGACAACAGGGGCAGGTGCTGGAGAAGAGAAGCACCCGATGTCAGAGACTGGACGGGGCCTGGGGACACCCAGCAGCCCTCTCCGCGTGAGGCAGAGCCCGGCCACTTCTGTCCACTCCGCTGAATTCCTGAGGGCTAAACCTGGCTCCCAGTGAATATACCGGCTGAATAAATTAACTCTACAAGTAAAAGCAGAGAAACCAAAGGCCAGAGAGGCAAGTGCGGAGCCCGACGCCCAACGATCAGGCCACAGCACAGCCCGTACAGCACACTGACTCAGGTCCTCCCAGGGACACAGGACCCCAGCGCCACACCCCGGTTCCGGTGACACGCACGCGTGAGACCAAGGCCTAGCTCGCGCGGCGTGTCAGGCCCACTCTGCCAGCCGGGTGGAGTCTGACCACCAGCAGAACCACGTAGGAAGGGGGCGGGGCGCCAAAGCGTGACTCGGTGCCTGGGGTCGTCCCGGCGCCTTTTACGCCATCTCCCTAGGGCGTCGTCCAGTGGCCCCGGCCCCAGCCCCAGCCCCACCCAGACGGCTACGGGAGAGGGGGTAGAGCCAGCTTCAAACTTTTTGGGTCGAGGGAGGGGACCCTGCTCCAGGTGGGTGCGGGCTGGGGGAGGGAGAGAGGGAAATGGGCTCGGGGCCTCGCCGTCCGCTGGCCTCGGGCGAGGAGGGCGGTGGGGCATCCTTCTGGCAGTCCCCTGGCAGCCACGGTACTGTCCCGGAGCGCCAGACCTCTCGTCCGAACGTGCCCTGAAGGACTTAAAAGACACCTGCCCTCGCGGACAGCGTGCTAGGCGCCCTCCCGGCTTGTCGTCAATTCACGCCCACGAGAATCCCGTGAGACAAGAGCACTGTTAACCCATTTTACAGACGAGGAATCCCCAGCCTCAGGGTAAGCCACTGGGCCGAGAGCTCGCAGGTGCGCTGGCCTCCCAGCCCGGATGCCTCGCCCCGGCGGCCCGGCGTTCCCGGCCCCCGCACGCGCCCGGGCAGGACCCGCCCGCCTCCTTACCCCCAGCGCATCCAGCCAGAAAGTCGAGCGCCATTGCCGGGTCCTCGGTGAGGCCGCCCTTCCTCCTTGTCCTCTTTCTCTGGCCCCTCGCCGGGCTGGTCGCCGTCGAGGGCTCCCCCTGCCCTGCTGGGCCGGGACTCGGCCTGGCCGCCTCCAGGCACGGAGCACCGCGCAGGCTGGGGTTTGGCGGAGGCGAAGACGGCTTAGCGCGCGACTCCTCGCCGGGTGCACGTCCTTCGCTGGCCGGCTCGCTGGCCCTTGCTGTCGCCAGCGCAACGCCCGTGGTCCCTCACCTCGGTCGGCGTGTCCGGCCCCTCGGACCTGCCGGCCGGGCTCGGGCGGGGCGCAGAGCTCAGCCAACGGGCGGGCGAGGCTCGGACAACACCCCGGGCCCTGCGCGCCGCCGCCGCGCTTCATTGGCTGGGCGAACTTGGGGCGGGCGGGGCGGGAGGCACGTAACAGGCAGGCGGGCAGGCGGGCAGGCAGGCAGGCAGGCGGGCGGGCGGGGGAGCCGCCGAGGCGCTGCAGACAAAGAATGTGCTTCTTGCGCCCGCCCGCGCCGCCCCGGGCGGGAGAGGAAGCCGGGTGTGTGTGCTGCTGCGGGAAGGTGGGGCCCGGCCCGGCCGGGGAGCCAACGGCCTGCGCGGCCCAGGAGCTTCCCGGCGTGCGCGATGCGGGTCAGCGGGGCGGGAGGTGGCGTGCGCTTGCTTCGGACTGGGCCTGGGATCCTGGGGCCTGGGTTTAGGTCCCGACTCCGCCGCCCAGCCTCAGGGTCCTCGCCTGTATAATGGGGACACGCCGCGGTAACGAACGTGGAAGCGCCAGGACCCTCCAAGGCCTGCAGGCTCGGACACTAATTGTCACACTCCTCGAGCGGCGAAACACCCCCTCGGGGAGTCTTCGCCCCTCCCGTCTGTGCGCCCTCCTGGCGGTGGGCCTGCGGCTTCCGGTCGCCAGGCTCACCTCGGGAGGGGCGAGGGGCGTGGTCAGGCCCTCGCGGGCCCGCACCTGAGCGCGAACTGCGGGAGCCGCGGGAGGCTGTGAGGCGGGGGAGGTTCCTGGACTGGTCCGAGAGCCGCGAGGCGGGAGAGGCCAGATCGAGGCGCGTCCCTATCGGCGGCCAGGCGCTGTGTGGCCGGAGGGGACGGTCCTCGAGCCGCGGCTCTGGGAGGCCTGCGGGCCTGGAGGGAGGGAGGGTGCGAAGGCGAAGTGGGAGGGCGCTGGGCTCCGGTCTACGCGGGTGGCTGGGCGGCGGGGGGGCGGGGGGGGGGTAAGTAGGAGCCGAATCCGACGCCCCTCCCCGCCCCTCCCCCCAGTCCCCGAGATTGGCAGTGGCAGGGGACCCCCCTCCCTGCTCCCTGGGGAGGGTCCGGGTCCGAGACTTCCCCCTGCCCTCCTTCCCCAGCGCCTCATGAAGTCCTGATTGGCCGGATGGGACTGGGCTTGGCTGGACGCTTTCTCCCTCACAATGGGAGTCAGATGACACCTTCAGGCCTTCAGGCCTGCGCCCAACTTCCTTCTTCGTGCTCCTGTGGTCAGGACCACACCTTGCGGTGTGGCAGAGCACACAGTTCTTTTATTTGCATTTTACTGTTTCTGAAATCGACACGGGGGTTGCCATGGATATGTATCTCATGGACAGGTTTTAAAGATTATATATACTTGGTACTAGGGGTTATATGTCAGGAGTATGTACAATAAGTAGTGAACCCTGGTGATACAGAGGCCACTAGGAATCCAACGGGTGATACAGAGGCTACTAGGAATCCAACGATTATGTGCAGTTTCCTTTTATTCTTCTTAGAATCTAAATAGAACATTCCATAAGCAGAGACCCAAACCCAGGTCTGCTGACTCCTAGTCCAGTGCTTGTGATGGCTGGTGGGCCCTGAGCTAGGGGTCTGGAGGCCTGGGTTTGAATATCGCCAGCCTCTGACCCAGCTCAGGCCTCAAACAAGGCCCATGAGCCAGAAAAGCATGTGGGCCCCAGGAGCAGCCCAGACTCAAAACAGGGGCAGGAGTTGGCTGGAGACCTCTGAGGCCATGGCGATTAAACTGGACAACCTACATCCAGGTGACTCACCTCTAGGAACAGGGGGTCCCTGGGTTACTGAGGCCTCAGGAGGTAAAGCACAAATGCCTGCAGCATCCATCCCTGTTTTTGGAGGTTTGAGAGAAGAGTCAAGTGCCTTAACAGGGCAGTAAGTCAGAAGATTATTATGGACCAATTAATAAGGAGACAAAGAGGACCCGCTTTGTTTTGTTTTTAAGAGAACACAAGTGCCTTTAAGTTAATATCATGCTTGGGGCAGGTGGCATGAGCCCTGACTCCTTGCAGGGGGTCCTTGGGAAGGGGCCCAGCAGCCTGGTGCACAGTAGGCACTCAATATTTGAGCTTCAGAAAGCTCCTTGGAGGGAATCCCTGTTTGGGCCGACCCTACAGGGATCCAGGTGGGGGAGCTGGTAGCTGTAGGGTGGGATCCTACAGGCCAGGGAGGAGGTGTGAGGTGTGAGGCAGCTAGCTGTGCATCCTGCAGGGAGGGCTTAGAAGTGGGGCTGGGCTGGGGGGGAGCCAGTGTTCAGGCTGAGGCTTGTTGGGTTTGGAGACAAAGGTCCAGTATGTGGTGAGCAGTAGAGGGGTGGGCTCTGGGGCAGGTTTGCCCACAGTGGCCTGTTAGAGAGGCCTAGGCTGCGGGTGCTGGGCAGTGGCCTCCAACCGGGAGCACCCCAAGGGCAAGTCCAGGGTCTGTCCGGTTCGTCCCAGGGTGTGCTTAAAGCAGCATTTTCAAGGCCGTGAGGAAGGGGTAAAAGCAGGCGCTGCGAGGGGCTGGGGTCACTCGGGTGTGCCGCTGGCTTACTAAACCCTACGACCACGTTGCTCCTGAAAGTCGCCTCTCCCTGAGAATCATGCATGTCCCCGCTGCCCGGGAATCCCTCCCTCGGCTGGTGCTCTGGGCCTGGAGCGGGGACAGGGCAGACCCTCCTCCCTGACCTCCTGGGCCTTCCACGACAGCTGGGGAGAGACCCAGAAGTGAAGGAGTCATGGTCAAGTAAGTGAGTCCTGACAGGCCTGCGTTATTACGTCAGCCGCTGGGGCCCATGTCTGTTTTTCTTCATTTCCTGAGGATAAAATTACAGCACAGAATGTGCTTTTTCAAACTTCTCACGTTCCACGGGTCCCCAGGACACTTCCCCCTCCCAGGGGAGGCCACCTTGCGGTGCTCAGACCCCAGCCTTTAAGAGGTGGGAGGGGCCCGAGGCCAGAGCAGTATGAGGACAGCTAGGAGGGGAGAAGGGAACCAGGGGTCAAGCCAGGTCACTGAAAGTGCATGGTAGAGTCTTGATTTTGCACAGCTTTTATAATTTCTTACACAAGACAGCTTGGGTTTGGAAAATTTAGAAACACCAGCAGGTTAAAAAAAAATTAAAAAGCGTCGTAAATGTTCTCACCCTGGAATCTGATGAATTCAGTGACGGGAGGCTATTTGGACCCCGGGTGGGGTGGGGAGCGAGGTTGGAGCTCAAGGTGTCACAGAGTGAGTGGGGTGAGGGTGGGCCGAGGCACCTGCTGTGTAGACCTTCTGGGGTGTTAGGCCATGCTGGAGGGTGCGCAGGACGAGGCTGGGGGCCAGGGCAGGTGTGATTCTAGGATGGAAGCCACCGGAACAGGTTTCAAAGCTCCTGGGCAAAGACTGGTGGGGAGGACAGGGCTGTCAACTGGCCCCCTTCTCACTTGGAATAAAACCCAAGCTCAGTGCCTCAGAGCCCAAGGTGACCTGGCTGCACCCTCACAACTCCAAGCTCATTCCCACCTCAGGGCCTTTGCACTGACTGCTTCCCCTGGGTGGGAGCTCCTCCTCCCGGCCTGGTACAGGTCATCTCCAGAACTCAGTTCCCTGCTCAACTCTCAGCTCCTCAAAAGGGGCTTGGATGGGGGGCCCCCCCCACCCCATCCCCATGCCCTGCTTTCGTCCAGTTCCTAGAGTGACACTGTATGTTCCTCTCTGTGTTTATCACCTCCCTTCCTCTGGCATGTTAGCTCCACCAGGGCTGGGACTTTGCCCCTCTTTACTAACACTAAACTGGGCCTGGCACACAGCAGGGGGTGAGCAGGCAGCCGAGGAGCCTGCCCTGGGTGAGTGAGTCTGGGCTCTGGGCTGTCCTGCCCTGTGGCCACGGGTCTACCACCCCAGACCTCTAGGATCGGAGTCTCCCAGAGAGACTGCTAAAATGCAGATTCTAGGGCCCCACCTGGGCCCTCGGAGCAGGCAGAGGCAAAACCTGCATTGAAACTGACCTCTTCAGGGGCTGAGACCGTCTCCAAGGACAGGTTCAGGAAGTTCTGGCTCAGTTTTGCTTTTCAGTCTCAACTTGGACCCCTCCTGGCTGTGTGGCCCTGTGAGCCATCTTTGTCTCAGGTTCGTCATCTGTCGGATGGGTTCAGGAACATTCTAGGGGCCAGAGCAAGTGAAGGAGGCCACGCAGAGTGGGCACAGAGCAGGGGCAGACCCGGTCTTGCTGTCGTTCCTCCTGAGCAAAATGCCCAGCTTTCTGCCTTTATCCATTGACACCTTTGCAGGAAACATGGAAGATCAGAATTAATTTATCAGCTGAGATACTGAAGGTTTTCCTAAGGGCCTCTTTTTTTTTTTTCCTAAGGTCTTCTTAAACCCTGACCCCACAGCTGGGCTCCAGGCCCTGGCTCAGGAGGGCCCTCTAATGGCTGCTGAAGATGCTGCAGTGAACAGGCGTGGTGGCTTTATGCTGGTGCCCATGAAGGGGCTCTGCCCAAGGGGCGTCTTTCTCCCGGTGGATAAACGTCTGCCGTCTGCGTGTCCCTCTGGCCTCTGGTCCAGTCTGCACTGGGAGTGACTCAGCCACCCCAGTGAGGGTGTCTGTGCTGGGCCTCAGAGGGTGGAGGGCCTGGGACCCCTTAGGGACAGTCAGCCAGTGTCCTGGTGGCCCCTCCCGAGTCCACGGCGCCCAGAGTTCTCCTGTTGGGTAGATTTTGCGGAATTCACATCTCAGTTGAATTTAGTCATCCCCAAAGCGGCCACCGCGCTGTGTGTGTGTTTCTTGCATCTTCCTTCAGCTGCAAACTCACAGTTTTCCCCAGGGCTACCTCTCCAAGTGAGCTGTGGCCTCTGCTGTGCTCCACACCCACTTGGCCTTGGAGTGAGAGGACCAAGAGACAGGATCCAGGGAGGCTCTGGCCAGATTATGAGATGACCAGAAACTCAAGATGGGGAGCGATATAAATAGACACGGCAAGTACTTCTGGTGTAAAAATAGAGCTAAGGGGATGTGCCTGGGGCACCCTGGACCTGGAAGGCCAAAGGGGTGGACCCCGGCTTGGGTTGGGCTAACTGGCCAAAACAGAGGGGCTGGGCTGGGGGGAGCTCGGCCAAGCGTGGACACGGCGTGTGCTTGCTGCCCACGGGCCTCCTGGGGCCAGGCCTTATCGGTGCCCTCTGGGGTGGGGGGCGGCTGGGTGAGCAGACCGTCCCCGGCTGACAGGCAGTGTGAGCATGCACCCAGCACAGTGGCCAGAGGAGGGCCATGTGACCCCACCCAGGCGGAGTCAGTGGGAGGGTGGGGCAGGAGTGGGCAGGGTGGTGCCCCGGGCAGGGGTACTGGGTACTGAGCCCAGGGGTGTGTTTGGATGGTAGGGTGGCAGGCAGGCTCCTTGCGAGCGCCAGAGACCACGGAGAAAGGGACTGAGAGAAAGGCCTTGGCACCCTGGAACCCAGGAGCCCTGCTGTGGTTGTTGGACCCAGAGTCCAAGCCCCCCTTTTCCAGAACCTGTCCGAGTGGGAGGGGCCTTTGTCAGCTCTGTGTCCCTCCTCCCTCCTGTGGCTTCCTCTGTCCTGCCTGCCCAGCCTGGGGCAGTCACCCAGCCAGACGTGAGCCAGCGCCCGACTGGGGCAACCGAGCAGGGAGAACGGTCCCCTCTGCCCAAGCCAGAATCCCCCCTCTGCCACCTGCCCGACTGCTTTGGGCTCTGCCCTCCGGAGCCCCTGCCACAGGCCCGTTCTTGGGCCCCTTGGGTGCCTGACACTTGGCTCCTGTGCCGCTCAGCCAGGGGCCAGGCTCACCTCCCAGGTGAACCCCTCTCGGGGCCTTGCTGTCCAAATGGAGGGTGGCAGGCCGGCTTCTGTCATCCGCCTTTGAGCATCTGTTG